GGATGAATGGAAAATTTCTTAATTTAAAAAAAAAATAGAAGTCAGGCAAAAAAAAAAAATTGCCAGTGATGAACAATCATAAAATGCTAAATGGCAGTTAATCTTTTTACAAGCACTTACATAATTAATTTACATAATTAAGTTTCCTTTAAATGAGAAATATACTCAAACCAGGCATGGAGGCGCACACCTTTAATCTCAGCACTCAGGAGGCAGAGGCAGGCAGATCACTGAGTTCATGGCCAGCCTGGTCTACAAAGCAAGTTCTAAGACAACCATGGCTACATGGAGAAAAAAAAAGAGAGAAATTCATTAAAAATCAAATTGGGAGCCGGGCGGTGGTGGTGCACGCCTTTAATCCCAGCACTCGGGAGGCAAAGGCAGATGGATCTCTGTGAGTTCGAGGCCAGCCTGGTCTACAGGGTGAGATCCAGGAAAGGCGCAAAGCTACACAGAGAAACCCTGTCTCGAAAAACCAAAAAAAAAAAAATCAAATTGGTCACTCCATCATTAATATACTTAGAGTCTAGTAGAGTAGGAAAAAAAAGGAAAATCATAGGACAGTATGAGTCATAAGATTATTTGAAAATGTATAAAAGGAATGTGAATTATGTGGCTAGAAAAATTAAGAAACCATTTCTAAAAGTCAAAGAGATATTAAGACCAAAGCATAAATGCAAGAAGGGTATGGTAGCCCCATTTGCCATTTAGCGCCTGCAGCAGTCAGCAGTCAGGAATGAGCAGAAGAGGCTCTCACCAAACCTACCAGTCCCAGGGCTCCATCTACAGAAGCATCTTAAGATTTACATGAAAGTAGGAAAAGCTCTAGGGGTTCTGAGTACTTGTTTTTCTTCCTGTTGATCCTCTCATCGTTTGAGTAGGGATACAGAACAAGGGGGTTAGTTTATTCAACTCCTTTTGCCTGGATGTTGAAGCAATGAATGATCCCCTCACCCTGCTACAGTATTATCTGCAATCCACCAGGCCAGTGCCTTCAGTAGTGCATGGTTTGGCAGAAGGACACGGGCACAGATAATGGACACATGGCAATGTAAGTTAAGTGTTATGATAGAAGCCCAGAGTACTGGCGAAGCGGAAGAAGGGCTCCCAGGAAAAGCAGAAGCTGGGAAGCATCTTTGCTTTTGTAAAGAGAATGATTCTGTTGTATTAGAGACCATTCCCAAGAGACATGAGTAATACAAGACCAGGGCAGGAATACAGACAAGGGGCTGTGTTTGGGAGTGAATGAGTCATTCTATGCACTATAGAGAAGAATTCTGGGGCAGAGGAAACCTGGAGCATAACTTAATGGATTCTAAAGAGAAGGGTTTTGGCCAGGGATATAGCTCAGAGTAGGACATTTGCCTAACTAACATGTACAAGGCCCTAGTTTGGTCTTCTGCACTATTTAAAAAAAAAAATGAGAGAAAAAAAAAAAAGCTAAGCCAGGTGGTGGTAGCACACACCTTTAATCCCAGCACTAGGGAGGCAGGTGGATCTCTGTGAGTTCAAGGCCAGACTGGTCTACAGAACTAGTTCCAGGAAAACCAAGGTGGATCTAGTTAGGGAAAAGCATGGCAGTACCACAGTTTCTTTACTCACAAGTTGATGTAATCCTGCACCTGCTCTTCATCCATTTACTTCATTCATTAGTTTCTATGTGACAAATGGTAATCTGGATACAGAGGAAATAATTATGACACACTTTTTTCAAGGAAGTCACAGTCTGGTAGAAGGGACAAGCAACAATAAGGCATAATACCAATAATATCGTATCTGCCCCAAGAACAGTACTAAGCAAGTGATGATTATACTCAGAAGTATAGAAATGGCTTTAAGGAGTAAGTCATCTGTGCCAATTTTGAGGAACCTTTACTTGCCAGGTTGAAGTTAGAAGCTTTCCAGTCTGGTATGAAGATATATATGCAATCATGTAGTCACGTATATAATCACAACACCCAGAAGACTGGGACAGGAAGATCATGAATTAGAGGCTAGTACAGACTACAGAGTAAGAACCTGTCTTATAAGAAGAAAAGGTCAGCTGAGCATGGTGGCACTTGCCTATAATCCCAGCACTTAGGAGGCAGAGGCAGGTGGGGTCTAGTATATATAGTAAATTTGACTAGTGCATTCCAGAGTACCAGAGAAAAGCTGAAATAAACCTAAAGTCCTAAGTCATTAAGACTATACTGATGGCATTTGGATGGGAAGTCTGGGAAAGTATCAGCAGGATGCAGATAACCAGAGGGTTCTGGGAGGTAAGGAAGGAGATCGGTTGTTAGCCCTCTCATTGATCAGGGAAGAAAAATCAGAAGGAACTGAATTGGAGTGGATTGCATAAAACCTTAGAAATCAGTATGGGTGACTCCTCAGTTCTGGTTTCCCAAGACCGAAGAGTCAATGCAGAGAGAGATTTGAAGAAGGAAGGTGACGAGCCCATTCTGGAATATGTTCATTGTTACTGCAGTGATGTTCTGCCGCTGCTTCAGAGTCTTCATGGGCTGTCAGATATAAATGGATAGATAGATAGATAGATAGATAGATAGATAGATAGATAGATAGATAGATAGGGAGGTAGATAGGGAGATAGATAGATAGATAGATAGATAGAT